AAACCCAACAGTTTCTGACTTCAACTTTTCCGTGAGAGCACCTTGGTAAACTGACCTCAAGAATGTAGAGAAATTACTGACACGATCCTCTATGCTCCTGCCCCACAACAGGCAAAGGTGATTCTTAGTTGTCTTGTGTTGCATTAGTAAAGCCATCCTCAGGCTTGTTAGAAATTTGGACTGAAATACCAAGAACTTGGAGACCATCTTGGGCAGGATGATAACGAAGCATTTGCTGCTGTTTCTGGAACCACAAAGTTCCACGATTCGAATTGCTGTTGAATTTTTGAGATTAATACAGCTGACAAACCAGTTCTAGAGAGTCTAAATACACATCTGTACCTCCTACCACCTACATTCACATGCAGCCATGGAGTTTTATGCATACTTGTTGGCAAATCAGAAAAGTTGATTTTTTGGTGCCAACTCACTATGCCAACAGTTTCTGATGCCAGATTGTGAGGTCCTATCTCCAGATGAAATAACGACATTGAAATTCCCTCCTGGCTGCTTCTCCAGGCTGGTCAGGTTGTGAAAATGACTGTCAAAGATCCAATATTAGTACATGTTCTCAAGGCAACACTGAAGAGGTGGCCAACAGAGAAATTGCTGTTAGAGTTCAAAGCATTTTTAATCCATAAACATGAGCTGTTTGCTCATAAAGGATCTCTTCTGGGAAAATCATATTGCTATTCCTGAAGGAGATTGCTGAGTCATGTTAACTATGTTATATGCAGCACAGGCAGGAATTGTGTGCATGAAAATGTTAGTCATGCATTTTGGCTAGTGGCTTGAAAATTATCCCAGCATAAAAAAAAAAAAAAAAAAAAAAAAGATAAATGAATGTATTACCTGCCAGGCCATGCGATGCTGCCTGCTGAACGCCCCAGCATTCCCTGAGCAGTGACCAAGAAGCAACAGTCCAGAGTCTGTATTGATTTCTGAGGGCCCTTTCAGACAGAAAATTAGCTTCCTAAATTGGGGTAAACTCATATTCGGAATGCCTCAGTGGGATTTCATCCTCCTCAGAAACACCTACTGCCTCAGCCTCTGCTCCCCGCTGATGATCTGTGGTTGCTGATCGCCAGCCCCTCTAACAGCAGAACTGCCCTCCTGGCTGCTGAGTTCAAGGATCTGACCAAAGCAGCCTCATCTGGACTGTCACACCGTGCCACGCTGTCCCTGAGCGAGTTATCAGCCTGGACAATGGTGCAGGCAGCTAAAGACATCTCGGAGAGGTTTGTGCTTGCCACATTCCTCATAACTCATCTGCTCCCATCGCCGGAGTCTGTCTGAGCTCCAATGAGACATCACCTCAAGTCACTCCTCTGTCAACTCAGCCCTGATCTGTCTGAGAAATTCTGATAGAAGCAAGATAGAGGCTTTGGGGGGTTTTCTACATCACAGTTCATCATATGACAAAAAACTTCTCTATGCTAGGAAGAGTGGAGCTGAGCCACGTGTGCTCCTAATAGCTATTGAGATAACAGCACCTGGCTGAGATGGAATCCACAGCCCTGCACTCCAAGGACAGGCTGGGTGCTGCGTGGCTGAGCAGCTGAAGAGCCATCAGTGTCCAAGCAACACTGCTTGGGGAGTGAGCACCCTTCCTACCTCCGCATCGCCACTGCTGTAGCCCCAGACACTGATGCTGTTACTTGAGGAACAAAGCGCTCCTCTAGCCCAAGGTTCACAGCCGTCGTCCCCAAGATCCCTGAACAACACAGGGAAACCACGAGAGGCTCTGACAAGTTGACTAGATAGATGTCATCCAACATGGGAGGAAAAGAACCATGTGTGAGGGCAAAACGTGGGTTTGGGTGCTGTGAATTTGCATGGAGGGAGCCATGGCACCGTTGTTGTTCCTTCTCAGTGCAAAAGTATTTCCCTATTCTTCTTGGTCTCTATGCAGCAGTCAGGGAGATGGGGGAGTTGTTACCCTTGTTCGTGTTACCAGCTACAAAAAGTTGTGTTCACTTGCCTCTGACAGCCTGAGGTCTCCACGCCCTGCTTTATGAACGTGACACCTGCGCTGGAGATGGTGGGGAAAGCACCTGTGCGCTCCATGGGACTGGGTCCTTCTCCTTGCTTTGGTTTTTGATGATGAAACTCTTAAAGTTCTCTCTGTAAGGTACCGTGTTAGACCCAAACAGCGTGTGAGGGACCCACAACTTCTTAGTAACCGAAAAACTGGGGGCAGGCCCTTCCTGGCAAAGGCAGTAAAAGGGAGCAGAATCTTCTCAGGAAGATGCTGACCATCCACAGCCTGCGGCACCCACACGGGGGTCTGCTGCGTCAGGGAAAATCTGGTTATTTCTTTAATACGCGAATCCAGAGCCAGTAACATGATGCTGGGAGTGCACTGGCGCCTGCAAAACTTGTAGTAGATGCTGGGCTTTACGGTGAGTGCTCCACAGAGCTAACAGGTGTTCGGTTTTCTTGCACTACCAATTTTAAAGATATTCTGTTTACCTATGTAGAATGGCATTTTCTCTGCATTTTTGGTCCTGTCTGCTTCGTTCTTCCTGGTTTATATTTGTTGTTTTGATGTTTCTTGACTCGGGCTGTCATTGCTCTGCTTTTCCAGACTTAGCCACTATGTTGGAACTGACACCTGGATCTCATTTTTATCTCTCCTCTTCATGTTCAGTGCAAGAGAGGAAAAAAAAAACCCAAACAAATGGGTACACATTGAGAAATGTTGTGCATCTTGTTTGGGAGGAGCGTTAAAGTAAGCTTGAAAGGGCCATGTAAATCTCACACTTTCTCTTCTGGTTGCATTCTAATGGGTTTGGAGTTATTAGCTCATCTCTGCTGCTCCAATACTGGGAATTACAAGCCAGAAATACTGGAGTGATCAATAAAAAATGGTGAAAGGAATAAACATTGAGCATGCTGTTGTGGCTGGCGAAGGGACTCCGCTCTGAGCAGTCAGCCCGTCTGTTGGTTAATGCAGTCTCATAATATCAGACCATCTGCCTGCCACTCTTGTGCTGCAGCGTAAAAAAAACTGGGAGGAGAGAAGTAGACCACAGAGCTATGAGAGACGTTCCTCCAAAACAAAGTAAGCTCATGATCCTAAAAGCCACCTGAGATACCTAAAACTACCTAATATTGAAGAACAAATGAGACAGTCAAGACAGATAAAGGGCTGGTACCCAGACAAGAGCTGCAGTTTGCAAACCACGAGACACTGTGTGATAAACACCCAAACCTGCTCAGGTGAGAGGAGAGATGCCAGCTGGTTTGATTTTGCTTAGTTTTAGTTCTTCATCGGTTTAGTTTGAAAGGTGAAGTGGAGCTGTGAATCATAAAATGATTCTCTTCTACGTGATGATGTGTCTTCTATGACTTTTTATGGTTCTGACATTGAGCTTGGCTTTGAATTTAATCCTGTGTACGATACCGAGCAGACTGCGGTGCCTATAATATCTTTTTGTGCCTATAATATCTTTTTCCTAGCGCAGTAGTAATATAGTGAGTAGAGTAATATAGTGGAAAAGACTATGAAAAATACTTTAAATCGGGAATATCCCATACGCCTTAATAAATATATTTGGGTTAAATGTTTTTCTTTGAAGACCTAGAGCACAGGCCCTGTGATGTACTTCCACTCTCAGCACTGGGCTGAGAGATGAATTATATGTTCTGACCTTGAGGCTAGCAGCCGTGCCCACAGCAGAGAACCAGCGTTCTCCATGTCTTTGGCATCACCACCATAAAGAGCAAGACTATTCCTTCCTTTTAGGAATTAGGTATTTAGCTTGAATTCTGCTATTAAGTATGGTTTCATCTTTGTATATCTAATTAGCTTTTAAAAATGACTTCAGTGATTCATAATAGGTGTATAAGAAAACAGATAAAATGTTAGTAACGCATTTTTTTTCCTGCATATTTAATCGTAACTCTCCCAATACAAGTGCACAGGTCCTTGTCTGAGTCGGTGTGTAGCCTATTGCAGATAGACTAAGAATAATGCAAGCAGAATATAAAATATTCAAGGAGACAGCAGAGACTGTTTTGGAGAGTACACAATTCTTGTGGGAGATCCAACCACACTTCTTTTCACTGGATGCAGGTCTCTAAGTGGTCCTTTTAGAAAAATCTATCCTGGTTTTTAATTCTCAGGAACCGCCAGCTACCCAGTACATAAAAAAGGAGGCTTGGTTTTTAACTTGGCGGTTACGAGTTTCATCTGTGTCTTTTCCAGTCTGAAATCTGTTCTGTGACGTCCTTCTCAAACAAAAAAGTGTCCCCTATCTTCGACCCTAACTGGCAAACTCTTCTCTCCATCTCTACATTTTATCAAATTTTTTTTGGAGCTGGAGGTAGCAGGGGAGGGATGAGGGGTATACCCAGGGTGCTGGGGGTGGGCACGCCACAAATACATGTGGTGGCACGGTGATTTTTTTGTTTATTCTTTATTTCCTAAAACGATCCTAATATTGATCCTTTCGGCTGAACCTTTAATTTGTTTTAATCAGCTCTTGTTTTTCTGGCGTTCCCTTCTGCACAACTTTTTTATTTTTAAAGCTTTATTGTTTCTGCCAGGATGCTGAATCTCTCTGTTAGTCGTGGCTACAAGGTACCTTACTACTGACATTCTGACCTAAGATCCCCACATCACTCAGGAATAAGTCAAGAGTTACAAGTTTCCCAACTCATTTCTCCATGCTCATAAAGTTTGTCCAAATTTTAGTCTCTGCATCATACCGACCACGATGTTTTCTCAGTCTGTGCATGGGGTTTTGACGTCTCCTCCTACTGTTTTGTTTTCTGTCCTTATGCCTTCTCTGATTTGAAGTTTAACCCTGGGACTGTAAGCCATCCTAATGGGTGATCACTAATATAATTCTGTCGGTTTTATCTGAGCATGGAATCTATCCAGAGAGATTGTGTTGCTCATTAATGACATTACCTTGTTATTCTGCTTCAGCTTTAGTACATGACATCTGCTTTGTCTTTCAGTGTAATCAGTACCAAGACATTATTGTCCCACTAATTATCTTTCTCCCATCAAATTTCTGGTACACCTATTATGTCAGTATCCATTAAAATCAGGCATCTAGTTTCTTTTCTCATTAATTGCTGTTGTAGTGCTGGCTTAGAAGCATGTATAGATTTGGCTCAGTTTTCTTTTTCCGTGCTGTGTTTAGGTGAGACTTTATTTGATTATTTGCTGTTTGCCATGTGCTATCTTAGTTTTGCCAGCTACTTTTTTAGACAATGTAGAATTTTTATTGCTTTATCTCTACAGGATGCATCATCACGAGCTGTGTAGAGGACATGCAGAAGACATCTCCTACCTGTGCCAGTACAGTCTCTAATTTAAAAAGTCCCCTGTAACATTTTGGACTGTTAAATGCTCACTAGCAATGAACATTTTCCTTCTGCAAGGTTTTGCCTTGCTTCAACCTCCATGGTCTCCAAAAAGTCCTGTTTATTTTATGCATGTGAACTTCTCTATAAATAAGTAAAAGGCACTGCAACACAGGCAGTTGCTGATGACCTGCTGCTTTGCCATTCATTATGGGCATTATTCTGCAGATATCACAGCTGAAGCAAACGAGGTCCTACAGCGCGTTAGAGTAACTCAGCTCGGGCTGCACCATACCTGTAAAGACTTTGTCCATCTTTAAATTCTGAGCCAACACTGACCTTTGAGCCTGTTCCTGAAGCAGCTTCCCAGCAGTCCTCCTCAGGCCAGACACCTCACTTCAGCAGGTGCCACGGGCACTCCAAGTGCTTGGAAAGCGCCTGAGTCACGGCCCCACTGAAGAGCATCCAGAAAATTCTGGGGGCACCACATTGCCTGCAAACCCTCACCCTTCCTTCAGCACAAATGCTGCTTCCCACTGATTTCCACTGCGTACATCCCAGCCTTCACTTACACAAGGAGCTCGGCTGGTCATGACTCCTCATCCTCCGGCTCTCACTATGTTTGGCAGCTGACATTTGTGCATTTATAGAAGGATGCGGGAGCTCGAATCCCCACACAGTTCGAGGCAGAGGGAGGAACACCCCTATGTACGTATGAAGCTGTGGTGCTATGCCAGTCAGGGAATCTATCAGATCATTTGATGGGACGTATTTCTAACCTGCTGCTTTCCACTGTGGTGCCATGGTTTCCAGACATAATATTTGGCCTTAGTTTCTTCCCTTTGAACGTACCCTCCACAGCCTCTCAGAAGTCCTAGTGGGCACAGGTTTGAAGCAACGGCAAAGGGGAGCTAGAAGGTGCACCCAAAAGTTGTGAGGAGAGGAGGAGAGTGGTGGAGCATGTCGGGCTGGGAGAGGAAAGCTGCAAGCTGCGTTCAAAACCAGACCAAGTAGCTGGAAACGGAGTGACTTCCCAGTGTAACACATAAGTGTCCCTCACTAAATAGGTTGTCCTTTTTTTTTTTTTTCGTCCCCCTCGGACATCAAAATACTCAGCAGGAACAAAACTTTGATCAAGTTTCATGGAGAAAACCCCAGGAGCAATTCAGAACTGAAAGATCAGGTCCAGCCTACTGTGGCGGTTTCCTTCCAGATTCTTTTGGAAATCCTTGCTCTCTCACTACTCAATCTGTAAAGAAAAGTAGAAGATAGCACACTTCATGGGACCCAACTCCATCTGCTCTGTGGAAGCCCATTAAAAGTTCTGGCCAATGTAACCAGCTGTTGCTTTATTGTCCTTTAACAACAGCGAATAGAAATTGCAACAAGAAATATTTGTGGACACAGAACATGTTTTTTTCTAGTTATTATCTACCATCACCAAGCTGATTTTGTTAAGCAGATTTGGCACTAACAACCAGCAATAGCTAATAAATTCAACGTTAGGCTTACAAGGTTCTGACAGATTGTTGGCAGCTGCCTTAAATGCAGGGAAGAGCTCTCCTAGTGTGGGTTGCAAATGCTTATTTATACCATACTGTGGGTCTGTTTGCCCCAAATTTTGCTGCCTCCTTTTATTGGTGCAATATATGCAAAGGGTATAATAACTGATCGGAGGGATGTAGTATCCAGCTACGCTGCGGATCAGCACAAATGGATTAAGGATGGGAAGTTCAAGCATAAGCTATTGCATTTTTACAGTAAGGATAAGAAATATTTTCATTTCTGAATGCAAGATCTGTGGTAAGGATGTAGCTAGGCCTCACCATAGAGGTTTGATTTTACTGTGGGTTTTGGTGATTGGCTTTCCTGTGCTAAGAAGGCTTTAAATATTATGAAGGAGTTTTATACTGACGTGCTGTTAATTGCTGATGGACTCCAGAAGAGACTAAGTTTGTTCTTAGGCTTCCTTTTAGCATGTCTTAAGTGGAAGAACATTCTACCAGTTCAACGGCCTGTATTTAGCTTAGAAGTTGGTTAGATAGAGGTCGTCTTTGGAGCAGAGAGAACCAACTGAAAAGAAAACTTTGTAAAGCCTGAGTCTCACTTGCAGTAAGGGAACATTTACTCATGGAGTCATTTCAGATTATCGAAACCTTGAACCACCACTTTGACTGTTAAGTGATACTAAAGATACGTACAGAAGCTGTACAAGCTGCAGTCTCATTGTGAAGATTAGTCCAAAAATTCCTAGTTACACAATGGACTCTGAAAACCACAATATATATATAACTGAACTCAAATTTTGATATCCACTGCGTTTTATCGTAGCTCATTTACTTGGAAGAAGAATCAAGAGTCTGTTCCAGCACTGGGTGTAACTGAGTAGCTGACAGGCCTCTGATGATTAAAGTCAATGCTGAGTGGGGGGATGAAGAAATTAAAGGAGTAGGAAGTTCTTTCCAACTGGAAAAAGAGTAGATTAATTCACGAAGTTAAAGAATTTTGCTGTGGAACTAAGTTGAGCAATACTGACACACAATTTTCATACGTGGTGGAAGTATCTCTGGACAGTATACAAGTGATGGTGAAAAATTCTGATGAACTACGTTGCAGTGTCCAACTTGATCCAGAGCTGCAGAATTTATCCTGGTTTTGTTTATTGAGTCAGAAGGTCAGCACTCTCCATCCCTGGCAGAGCTTTTCCCTCTCTTTCTGTTAATATGTCTTACAACTCCATGGAAAGACTGCAGAAATAGATACCATTTTCTTTATACCATGAAAGAGCCTTCCTTCCTCAAAAAAGAAAAACAGAATGGTCTTGAAATACACACTGACACTGTGCAGCAACTCTAAAATTCTACTGGAAAAAAAAAAAAAAAAATTGCTGACAGCGTTTCACACAACCAAAAGAAATACTTAAAGTAAAGCACTAAATGCTGTTTTGGAAAGTGTGTGGGTGATGCAACCAAGCATTATGCACCATAATGAACTTTCACAAAAAACGGATAAAGCACAGAAACATCCCATTGCCTTTAGAACAGCCACACTGTGCTTGTTTTGAGTCTGTCTCCTGGAGGTGTCATGCAATGCCCACTGTGCCGAGAAAGGCAGTGAACTGCCGTTCCCCAGGCTGCCTTTTCAGTTCCTCTTACATATTTATCAATGTCCATCACATCTCCTCTCACAAGTATCTCCTTGGGGATGAAGAGTCTTAGCCTCATCCTTGCACAGAACCTTCCAGAGCTCGGATTATCCTTGCTGCCGTCCTGTGAGTTGGACTAAAAAGGACAAAATTCCACACTGTATTTTATATAAAGGTGAGGCTTTCGGCTGTATACCCTCCTCGTGTGACAGACTACTCTCTGCTCTGTTCTCAAGTCCTTTGCTAATGCTTTCTAACAGCTAGTTTGTTTTTTTGACCGCTGCTGAGTATTGAGCTAGTGGTTTCATAAGCACAGTTATGCCCCAAGGTCCCATTTGTGTGTGTAAAATTTAACTCGGAGCCCATTAGTGGCAGTAATCCCAGGATTGTTCTTCCCTTATGTGCATAATTTATTTAGGTTTAACTCAGAATGAATTTCACAGAGACTGTCTCCGTTACTAGGTCTCTCACTGAAATACCCCGTTGCTTTATTCATGGGAATTGCCCTTCTCTTTCAATCTGTCCAGCCCATCAGCAATTCAGACAAACCAAGAACAATTGTTCCTTACACCACTTACTGCCTCTCTCTGTCAGACCTGATGAAGGTACCATATGCCCAAAAGATTTTGTGATTGTCTCAAGTGCTCTAACACAAGATATTGTCTCGTTGTGCCATGAAGTTCTATCTGGCCTTCGGATACTCCGGAAGCCCGTTGTTGGTGTGAAGGACGCTGCCAGGCTCCTTCGCCCCCTCAGCTGTGGGCAGAGCACTCTGTCTTCAGCAGGGAGCAGGATGGGCTCAGCTGCCTAGTTTAAGTGAACTCTATCTTTTTTTCCCCCGATAAATACTAGTTTGAAATACGGGTTAAGCTGCTATTGAGAATTTATAACTCCAATACCAGAATAAAGAAAACCTTTACAGCCTGCCTCTGTGCACTTGAATATACTTTTTTTTTTTCCCCCCCGAGGGTAAATCAAACAAACAAACATCTAGATGATTCCCTCTCACAAAGAGACATTTGGTACTGTCTGTGACTGCAGTTTTCTGACCATGAACGTCTTCATGGCCTGAGGAATCCATGCAGCATGTCCTTCCTCACTAGAGGAAGAAGGGAAACGTCTGTGTTGCCATATAAATCGTTATTTTCTTGGGAAAAAAAAAAATCAGTTGCATGAAGAGGAAAATGCATCAGAGAAATGACAGATCTGCATAAACTGAGCAAACTGCTGTCTTAGACCCTTGGCATCTGTTTCACCTTGCTGGGTGTAATCCAACATGTGGGTCCGTGTGTGCTTGGGAAGCCACGTGCTCCCTGGCACTGAAGTACAACAGAAACGACACCGATGCAATCTGTACAACGGGAAGAAGCCTTTCTTGTCTTACCTTTTTCCGAAGCCGGGGCAAGGTCAATAAAACTTCGACATTTTTCACCTTTAAAAGAAAAGGATTATTTTAGGAGACAGAAGTTGATTGGTTTTGCTCTGACTCCTCTCTCTGGTGTTTCTGCCATCGCTCCCACCTGAGTCTCTACAGGGCCACTACCTTGTCTCACACGGAGAGCAGACGTTCAGCTGTGCCTCCCTCCTGGGCCAAACCCCCTGTGCTCACACGGCTGGGCTCTCCCTCAGGATTACAGCTGCTTCGTCAGGTGTATGGAATAGAGCTAATGAAGAAAACTATTCTCTCTGGTGGTTGGGTCCCTGCCGGGTCAGTGATGCTCCTTCCCAACCCTTTGGAGGGGCCGTGCTGGGAGGCCACAGGCCTCTTTCACCAACACTTTTACCTTCCTCCTTCTCACCAGGCCAGTGCCTGTGCCCCGCCACGGTGTGACCAAACCTCCCAGTGCCAGCAGGCATTGCCATGGGCACAGATGCCTCAGTAGCGAGACACGACATGTGTGACTAAGACAGACAAAACCCGAAGCACAAAGCAAGATAAGCAATTGCGTAGCATTTACAAAAAATTGTTTAAAAAGCAGGCAAATGCCTTGCCACGACCATCACAGCCCTGTGCCCCTCCCTCTGCTTTGTGGCTGCTGCATCCATTTGTCATTGTAAATTAAATTTTCTCTGTTTAGGACTCCACCTCCATTTTTGCAGACATTTTTGAGAAGCTTATTGCTTCTGGGCAGGAAATGTATCTTAAGGGTGGATGCTTTGACCTTTCTTTTTACTTCTTCAGACACTCAGAGATTATAAAATAATTCCTGGGCTCTAGGTGCATCCACCCACCAAGCGTATGTATTTCCTTCGATACGATACGTTCCAAGGTGACCAGCAGCCTGCCTGCCTCAAGGAATCAGAGCCCAGCATGCCTGCCAGAGGTAATGGAGATGAATCCATTTTGCCCTTTAAAACTTTAATTGATGCAAAGACAGGAGTAGGGTTTGTTTTTTTTTTTTTACTAGTTTTGCTCAATTTTAATCACACAGTCAAAAGGCTGATTTAGAAAATGTGAGCCATTAAAAAAAAATAGTGAAATGCTGTAGTGATGTTGAAGTCAGCGTGCAATTTTTTTTTTTTTTTTAGTTAATTATATGTGCAACCCAATATAAAATGTGAATCTCTCTGGTGTCTTTGTTGGTGGGACTGAGATAAATGTACCCATTTGAATGATAGCTGTGCTGAAATAACAATCTATTGTTATAATGCTATTATTACCACTTTTTATTTACTTGTTGCCATTTTAAACCTATGCTAAAAAGTGTTGTGTACATAGTCTGTTCCTTTATGTGTAAGTTGCTATAAAAACAAAGGTTCAGTTGACATTGAAATAAAAGTTTCAGTATCTCCATGGCAGGGGGAAGGATTCTACTCTACGCTGTCAAGAGGGCAGTCAAGAAAAGGAAGTGACACTTGACTTCTCAAAGCACCACCTCTGTTTCCAAAGAGGTCTGTGTTTGAGCAGAAGGAATGTCAGATGAGGAAGTTATGAGGTTTGGGAACAGACAGACTGAAAGAAAACTGATGGATTATAGAAATCACAGCATCCCAGAGGCCTTGTGTGGATGGGACCTTGTGGGTCCCTTGTCCAGCCTCCTGTTCAGAGCAGGACCATCACTAACATCTGAGCAGGGCAGCTCTGACTCTTCCTAGCCATATCGCGAAATACTTCAAGGATGGTGACACCCATGATTTAGTGACCCCAAAGACAGAGTTTCTCTCCTCTGGTCCCAGGGATGGACCACCCTTGGAGAAGCATTTCCTTATACCCAACCTGAACTTCTCTAGCTGCTCTATCATCACTTGTAGTCATCCTTTCTCTATTTGTAGGGACTTGAACGAGCCCAGGTTCCTCAACTTCTTTTCACACGTGGTGTACCTTAGGCCCCTGACCAAGAAATCCAAAGAAATAGGTGGACTATAATAGATATTGTGCTGTAAGTAGGAATTATTCTCATCCAGAGACTCTGAGTTTTAGGGCTTGAGGTGTGTCAGGAATGCATTGACATAAAATCAAGGGAATATAGGGAGAGTGGCCTTTAGATTTGGACTCAGTATAAGCAGATTAAGCAGGATTTGTCATTCCAGCCATATGGATCTGTGGTTTTGGTTTGGTTTTGTGGTGGTGGTTTTTTTTTTTTTTCCGATGTAAGCTATTACTTTTATCACAGTTTTATTTTAACCTTCAAGCTAACTGGCTAGCACTGAGTCATCTCTCACCTGCAGCTGCAGTGAATCTGAAGCCGTATTACTGGAAACCTTTAAGAAAATACCCGACTCTCCAGCACGTTATCCCAAAACAGCCAAAGGGGAATGGCATTTGCCCCTACAGAAACTGCACAGGCTGTTCTGAGAGCTGGAGGTACATGGTGCCTTCCAGATACGTGGCAAGGTATGAAGCCTTTCTGACACGCATGGGTACTGAGGAAGCTGATGGTACCACAGTGTTTGGCTGCAGGTGCCTTGTCTGCAGGGCAGAGGCCGAGGGTGATCACACGTTATTGTGCATCCTCGTCCTCCCTCAAATCAGCTTGCCCAGAAAAACCACCTCTCCCAGGAGAGCTCGCTGTGACCGAACCCTCCAGTTTAAATAATACGGACAAAAAATGCTGGAGTGTCCAGAAAAAGTCCTTTTGCAGCCATAGGACGGAGAGTGAGTGTGGGCTGGAGCCCGACAAAAGCCTGGGAGGAGGTCACTTCACTTTCCACAGCTGGTATCTCAGTTGTGCCTGGCTTACTGCTAAAGGTTGTGGCAGGAACTGCCGGAACGGGCCCTGATGAACACTTCCCCACACTGGTCCTGCCGCTGGAGCACTGGAAACCCCATCTCCAATTCCAGTGGTTACCACTGGTGGTATTTATAGACCGCATTCATACTTCAACATGCAGACATGCCTATCACTGAGAACTGAAGATGTCAGCAGTGCTTTCACTGTTCCTCTTAGGATTTATTCTAAGTTATTTTTGGGTATCTTGTATAACTGATCTCTTAAGCCCTCTTAAGTTTAATTTTAGACTTGGCAGAGTTTATCCTGCTGTGCTGCCCTTTTCCAGATGCATCTTCTCCTCATAACCAGGCTCCTGAAGAGCCTTTAGAGAATATAGAAAGGGCTGTTTACAGATGCAACAAGAAGAGCGTCTAGGATTCATCCCCTTGATTGTCCTGCCTTCACCCAGTTGTGGCAGTGATTCTGACAGAGGAGGAAGCCAAGGAGTGATCTCTCCTGCACAAAACTCACATACAGAGAGGATGTGTGACCTGGCTTGAATACTCTCCACTTCCATGCAGGAGCAATGGCCACATACAGTGCATGTGAAGCTCTCTGGAGCTCAGCAGTGTCAGGGAGCTGCTGGAGGCTGAGGAGAAAGGACTGACCAACCACCTAAACATCAGTGAGAGCAAAGCACTTGGTACCAGCTTCTTCTATGGCTTCCCGAGGGTGAGATAGAAACATCAACCATGCAAGCCCTTGCAAATCCATTCCTTCGTAACCAGACTGGCTCAGCTGTGTCTCTGCTGGGCTTCCCAAGAAGGGAACGTGGGGCGTAGGGGCCCATAGGACTGACTGCCAGCAATAGCCCAGAATCTGTGTGTGTTTTTCTCTAATTAACCCTAATTAATCCTGCATGTTTGTATATCTATGTGTTTTTGTAATTTGCTAGGGAACTTCAAACTCAACCAGCCAGAGAGTGGGAGGAGACATATCTGGAAAGACCCAAGGCCTGAGCTGGTGACTGGGTAAGAGTCTTGAGGTCTTAGCATGGACTTAGAGCCCATGATAATATCTGAGGGACCATTAAAGTGATGTGCTTGTGCATCTACAGAGGGAAGGGGCGTGCGTGTTTCAGCAGAGCTCTGCAAACCTGCTCAGCCAGAGAGGAGGAAGAGGAGCAAGCCTGCTGATGGGAGTGATGATATTTTTGTGGGTGCTGGTAAAGGCGGAGCTCTCTCTGGCTTGGTCTGTGTGGCCAGCCACGTCAGAGTCACGCATGCTTGCACAGGGGTGTGTGTGTGCGTGCACATGTGTGCACACGTGCCTAGCCTGAACTGGGAAGGACACCAGCGGCAACGAGGCAAGGGAGGAGAAATTCCCTGGGCCTTCAAGTCCCGTGGGCTCAGGTTCCCAGGAGCAGGAGCAGCACCTCCTCAGACAGGCTCATTGAGACTCTTCCCATGTCACGGCTCTGCAGCTGTGGAAGCTCCCGCAGCATTTCAGATCAAAGGTTTTCCAGCTCCTCAGTAGTTTCTACTGAAGAAAGCTCAGCTTTGGGTTTCTGTGTGTTCTTAGGGAACAGTGTACAGGAAGATGTGGATTTTATCACGGTGTCAGTGCCAGGGACACAGAGACAAAGCTGTGGCAGCGTAAGAAGATGATCTTTCTGTCTTGCTTCCAGCATGAGGCCCATACTCTTTCTTCTTCTGCTGCTGCTCACTATGTAGTCGAAGGCCGGAGCTTTCAGCTCTTCCAAGTCTGTGGCACATACTCATCATGAAAATTGTCTCATGCTTGCAAAATCAAATCATTCCAGGAAAGAGGAGAAGGCTGTGTGAAAGCAGGCACTGCTCTGGCAGAGCTGCCTTCTGGAGGAAGTGGAGCTGGTAAGAGTGCTGCAGGATGGGCCGGCAGCGCTGCAGGACACCGCTGACGGGCAGTCTGAGATTGGTGGAGGGGTCACCCATGTGGCCCTGTCACCTCAGATAGGTCGGCCCGTTCCCCAGACACCTCCCTTTCCCCTAGCACGTGGGGGTAGTGGGGCTGCTCTCTTACCTTCTCCCCTAAGAGCCCCACTTCAGAGCCCCCCCACGCTGCGGGCAGCCAGCACTCCGCTAGAGCCTGATGCTGCTTCCTCTTACCGTCCTCCGGCAGAGTTCAGAGGCATCTCTACCTCCCTAGCCTCAACAATTGTTTGAAAGCAAAAGCTAAGCAAGAAAAGTGGCTTTTTCAAATCCCTCAAATTCAATCCTGCCAGAAAATTAAGACAAACGGGTCCCATAGAGCCCCCGGGTCTGCATGGGTCACCGGATCCCGGGCTCTGGGCTACGTTCCCCGTTATGCGCCTTGTGGTGGGCACAGAGACACTCCATTGCAGCAGCCCAGATGTGCCTGGCTGCAGCCTCCAAAGTGGATGCAGGCTGACATTCTTCTGTGGGTCTGTGGAAGACACGAGGGAGCAATTAGAAAGCTCTGCAGGGCAGCTGGAAAGGCAGGTCAAGGCGCACATAGATTGGGTCTAAACTACAGACCGCAGATGTACTTCCGAGCTCAGGGTGCACAGGGGAATCACTCTGACTTTAAGCCTTTGTGAGACCCACTCGTACTCTACTGTTTCTTCCACCAGTTGTTAAAAACGTATGGTTTGTTTGCTCCTGTCTTCAGGCCCCCACACTGCACAACAGTGGTTGGATTTGCCCTGAGTGGACCTCAGTAAACTGGTGGTTTAGACTGGAAATTGGGAAGAGGGCAGAAAACACACCCCAAAAAGCGCAGTAGGCTTTTAGACAATATTCTAAGCTTCTAACACGCCTGTTGCAATAACAAGGACCAGAAGTTGATGTCCTGGATAATATTTATTGGTCCTGCATTCCTGAGTTCTTTTTCTCTCTGAGACAGTGACAAATGTCTCATTAATAATCAGGGCAGCAAAATAAAAACATCTCTGAAAAATCCTAGCTTGTATGTCTTCCGACTACATGGTTTCAAAATATTCTAGCTAAATAATTTGACTTGAAATAAATAATAAATCTGGTAGTTCTGACTGAAAGAAGGATCTCTGTTTTAACTCTGCTTTTTCAAAAAAAAAAAAAAAAAAGAAAAAGCTGTCTGTATTCACTTACTCTGTATAAAATTTTACGAGTTCAAAAGTACAGTTCTGATGGAAATTTAAATGATTAAATTTCATTTAAACAGCATTCCCTTTTAGTAACACTCTGGCTCCCAGCCTACGAAAGACAAGGTCCCCTTTTTTCCCAATAGGCTCTAACAAATCTTTATCTCTCCAATTATATCTCGAGTCATGTGATCCTGATGAGATCCCACATCATCTACTGAGAGTAAAATCATTGCATTTGTCTAAAAAAAGACATAACCCTCAAGGGATCCCAGCCTAGATGAGGCTGAGGACTCCAACACAACTCCAGTGTAATAAAGTACCACATTAGGGAAAATACAGGTTAATGAGCTCACTCAAACTGAGTTGTATCAGGTTAATTAATGAGTGAAATATTCCATTTTTGATTACAGTGATCCCAGACAGAGTATTTAATTGATTTTTTTTTTTTTCCTAATGAAAAATTGAGTATTAATCTACAAAATCAACATTGTCCAGTTAACCATGTTGATTTTGCTGGAGTGATATTTTCTTCTGGAAAATAAACAACATCATACTCTAAAATATGTGAAAACTTAAACTATGAAAACAACTGTTTTCTTTCACTCTGACAACTGTCATTCATAGCTGATGCCCATCAACATTTATCTTCCTTCCAGATAACATGAGAATTTGTTCAATTTCTCAGCCTCTGCTGAGATAACTCACGATTTTTTTTCCCTTTTGGGGTTGTTTTTAAATCTGACTGCTGTGCTACCGCTCTTTCAACCAACTCAAACTCTTCAAACTTTTTACTTTTTAATGTGGAAAAGCTTAAAGCTCTCCACATTTTCATTTCAGGCATGCATTTTTCCTCAATTCACATAGTCACAAAGAAATGATAATCATTTTTTCCGAGAGGTATCACCCACACTGTGGAGTTTCTCCTTCAATTTGTTGGAGCAGTAGAGCTGTGCAGGGGGCCACGGGCGCGGGCAGGGCAGGACATGCCCAGCACCTCTGTGCTAACTGGGACTAAGTGCCATGGCAACTGCATTTTCTGTACTGAAACTCTCCCTGATGTGAAAAATCTTGCACGGTATCTGAAAGCAAACATCTTCACAAGCTGCTCTCAAATCATGTCTGACTGAAACACATCCAAGTCACAAGACTCGTCTGATTATCTTGGTAAGACCTGACGGGTGTGTACACACATCTGTCATTTGGAGAGCTGGAAAATAGTTCCGATTTCTAAATGATTGGGAGAATCAAGGAAACAGTGCTGCTGAGAAAGGCTTTCAAGGATTCTGGTGTCAAATCAGACCTGACTTTATAATTCTGGAAAACATTAAATCAGACAACGAGTTCTGAGTTGCTTTAAGCATCTTAAGCCAGGAAATGGGAAGAGGAGGGTTTCACCTGTTCATCCCTGACCACCTGCCACACGGTGCTGACTCTGTGCTAGTGTAAATGCACCAAAATAAACTGGTTATGGGTGGTCCAGTATCTGTGGGACTATAAGGTCTCCCCAGAAAACTGTGAAAGACTAGAAACGATGATCTTCACAGAAGGTGAAGCAGGACTTGCCTTCCACAATCTCCCCCGCGACTGCACTAGCAGTTCCACTCAGGCTGGTGATTAACAAAGGAGTAAGACACCAATAAGACCCTAAAGCCCTGGTTGTAGAAGAAACGTGGTCCAAGAGCTCCCACTCCCTCCAGTTATTAGCTGTAGATCCACGTGGATTCCCTTGTAACCATGCCAGTGCTTCTCTCCAGATAAGGCCCAACCAGAGTATTTGCAATGGATCTGTGCCCTAGCTCCGGAGTTATGTGAGCAGGGCAGGCAGCGATGCAAATCACTGACAGCAAAGAAGGAAAATCCTTCTCAGGGATGGGATTACTCCAGAAAATGAAAACATGAAAGCTGATATGTGCCAAAACGGAGGGAAAGCCAGATTTGGGACAGATCATTATTCTGACGGCACGGCATGTCGCTGTAAGCACAAGCTGTGAGGTTGCGGCTTGAAACACGTGCAGGTGACTATAGGTAAGAGTCAGATTTTGAAATCAAGTGAAAAAAGTTGTGCTTGCATTACTTCTTATTTCCGAGCTTGTACCTAACAACTTTGCAGCATTTCGTAGTTTTTGCCTGGCCAGGTGATGCACGGTGAAATCAGGCTGAGTGACAGTCTGATGAGTTTTTTGGACTCTCCAAATCTAGAGAGTCTAGACACGGGGGGATGGCTCTGCTCCACGACCACTTTCCCACATCGTACAGGTGGTTTCTCTCCTTTTCCTCACCAAATGCAGCCAAATGCAGTGTGGAACACCTCAAAGTGAGTTTTGTTTGCATGTGACTGTTCTACAAGCCATGCCATTGCATAGTAATAATATCTGCTGCTTCTTATTTACGGTCATCTGTGGCCATTTGTAAGCTAGATCAACAAAGGGTTAGAATCCCATTTTGTTTACCCACAAGAATACTGAACAACATTACACAGTTTGACAGAGGATCCTGCTAGAAGCAGCCTTATACCCTGGTAAATCCCCATTTTGGGATGTGTCCGTGAGCCAGCTCTGTTAATTCCCTGTAAGGAAAGTTTTAAAAACCAGTGTTGAGTCCGGTGTAATTTAAAAACCCATGGGCATACCGTGACGATTGATGTTCCATCCCGTATTCATTTCTGTAGCCCTGAATACATCTGTTCATATTTTGCACAGACTGACACGAGGGCAAGCGTCTCGGTTCTCCTTTGAAATATGGGACCTATGTGTTAGTCTTCCAGCACTTGGAGGTTTATTCCGTTTATAAGGAACTACCAGAACACCTCAGCTGCCTCCTTGAAGGCTACTGGGTTAAACGGTCGAGAACAGACACATCCAAAGAGAAAACAACGCAGTTTTTGATGAGGTAGAGAGTAACTTGTTAAATAAGGAGTGGTTCACTGCCTAGCCCCTTACTTTGTTATGAGTCTCAGCCTGCAGGGACTTTAATATCCACATTTTCTGTATGATAGATGTTCATACAGCTAGTCTGTCTAGCAGGATCAGAAGGACCTAAAATCCAAAATTCCCAGTGCACTGCAGACACAAAATATCCCCAACATCCTATAAAAAACCTGAATGTCTCTAATAAAGCAATCACCGCCACAGAAAGCACAGCTATCGTGTACCACAGGAAGAAAGCAAGAGTCATTGTGAGGAACATGAACAAAACTCTTATCCTAGAGCTTAAAATTCCTACGGCCAGGCCTATCTCATACTACAAGAAAAAAAAACAGGGATTTGTCAGGAGTTCACAAGTGCTGTTCTGAATTGGACCCTTCCCCATGTTGTAAAGGAAGGCAAAAATTTGTGACTATCCCTGTTATCTAGCCTGAGGGAGATTTCCCTTCTGATCCCAAATTAGATCATCGGTTTAATGTTCAGTGCATGAGCAGACATACCAATTAGATGCTGAGAAGCTGTAATAATGTCAACAGCAGCAAAGAAACCTCCTCACATACTGTCTCCACCTGTAGCCAATTTCTGGTGCTTTAGAGAAGGCCTAAAACCCTCCAGAAAATGCAATAGGCATCGAGTCACAAGACTTTTTTTTTTCTTGGCTCCCACTGGTGACCAGTAGCAAATCTGACACATGGATGTCATGAAATAGAACACAGATGCGGCGTGAGCAAGGCAGCAACCAAGAGGGCTCCTTTCAGGCCTCCTTAAGGTACCAACAAACGAGCTTTGCAGGGCTCACCCCAAGCTTCCTCATGCCAGAAACATTCCTCTTCCTCCCTGCAGTTCTTCCTGTGACTTTGAGAAGTTTCCACTCCAGCCCATGGGTTTCCTTTGCTCACACTGCCCTCTGTGGAGGTGAAATCCAGAGATGCACTTTCTGGAAACCTTTTTTTTTTTCCTCAATGAGAAGTTACTTAAGTCACATTATTTTCTTGATATTTATCCATATATACAAGGTACCATCACATCCCCTCTAGATCTTCAATTTGTAACACTGAAGAGGCCCAGTTTTTTCTCTTCCCTTCTTGAAGGAGATTCTCTTTTCCTTAACTACCTTGCAAATCCCACTCTGCATCTGTTTCCCCTGTCCCTTTTTCTTGCCACAGCTATGCGTGATGGCACTAACACAATGCGCCGGTGTCACCCGTGCCTCGCACAGTGGCGTTGATTCTTCACTGGAACAACACCTTCCCTTTATTTCACAGCACCCTGCAGCTCACCGTCACCCCACAGTCAAACACTGACGCACAACTCATTTCTTATCTTTTGCCTGTAATTGATAACTACCTATGACCTCACAGAATTTTACGCCTCAGCGTTTGGTGCTTTTAACCATTTTTTAATTTAACATTCTTCTCACAGTTCTATCAGCTCACAGTTTTAGTTATGCAGGAAAAATTTCTCCTCTGTAATGCCAATATTCCCAGACTTTGTATCACAGCATATGTAAGCAGTGCATTTAAAGCAAGATTATTCTCTCCAGATAAAGATTTCTGTGTTAGAAATAGCAACTTCTTCGATTCCTTTTTGGCCAATAAGGAAAACCTGTAATCCCAGGGCTCAGTTCATCCCCTATGAGGAGGAATTTAATCTCCCCAAGAAGTACTCACTACTTTCTGCTGGCTCTAATGATGATGTTGATCTGTTTAGGCACAAACATCTACATTTGCTAATGTCCACAGGTTTCCCATAGGATTCATCTTGCCTATTTTTTGTTACAGATTAGGTGATGTGACTTGTATCCCCAGTTCCTTTCTCCGAGATAGCTAATCTCAGCAATAACATAATCAGTCACAAAACCAAATTTGAGGACAACTAGAGATATCTAATCTCCATTGTGATAATCTTCCTTTTTATATTACTTGCCACAGCCTCCTTGTAAGACTGTTCTTTAGGCAGTTTACAATCCCTCTATTTATCCCCATCATAATAAATAAAGTAAAATCTGCACCACAGATTCAAGGAAAAGGTCTGCCTGCTTCACTACCTTTGTATCGTCATCCCATGATAGATGTTTAGGGCAGAACAAATTGGAGAGTACAGGGTGATTCTGCTCGTGTGCTCCCCACATGGTACCAGTACTGGATCAGTAGTGGGAGCACTGGGCAGAGGTTGCTCTCAGATCATGGTGTTAGTGACACAAATGAATGTTTCCTCCCTGGATCCATCCAACCCCCAGTTTGGGCCTTCACAACACTCCCTGGCAGGGAGCTCCGTAGGAAGGAGTATTTCTTTTTGTCTGTTACGCCTTACTGTTCTTAAATCAGGGAAGCAGTCAACAATATTTCTTGTCTGATCTCTGTCATTCCCAATTGATCCCCAGCAATATCATAGTTTTCTGTACGTCGTGTCTGCCTTCCAGTTGGAAGAGGCTGAGGCTGTTCAGCAATCCCTAGTGTGGGCACATGCCTACATCTATCAGCACGTTGGTACCGTTCTCTCCGTGCTCTGTAGTTCTTCTGTAAAGAATTTTCAGTGGGACATTTTCCATCAATTTTTTTTTTTTTTTTTTGTGAATCCATACAGACTGGGTCTAAAGCATTACCCTTGTTTAAGAAGTGATTCATCTTGTTAAAAGATCTACCTTTAATAAAACCCTACCTTTGATAAAACCCATTTGTTCCCATGTACTGAGTGCTTTCCCTGAAAACTGTCCTAAGGTTGCTGGGTCAAGTGGCCTGTATAATTTTTTTTCCAGTCTTCTTTGAATACAGCAATGTACAGATTCTTGCTACTAAACCTGCATTTTTGTGTGCCAATTATTTCAACATCCGCAGATGGAGATTATTCAGACCCCCTGGGTTCAGTTCCTCTATCGCTGGACATTTTATCTTTAATATAGAGCTCTACCTCCTCAATTCCTTTTACCTCTCTTTCCTTCCTAAACAATTTATAACTAGCAGTTTTTACATTCCAGTCATGCGAATAAACCCGCCAGGTTTCAGTCATGCCAATTATATTGTATTTCTCATAATCCAGCAAGAATTCCCAACTCCTCTTGCTTTTAATTATGTACTCACAGGGTGCTTCTCCCCAGTCCCTCTCTCTGGCCAGCTGCCCATGGTGAATCACACATGCCTGTTATCACATGGTGGCAGGGGAGAAGGGTGCTGCGGTACCACTCTGGATCTGTGAAAGTGTATGGCAAGTTCTTGTCTTGATATCTTACAGATTTATTCATTTCTGCAAGATCCACCTCTCTCATCCTCCGGCTCCTTCTCAAATGTGCATTTAACATCCATATTTATGGCCCGTTTTGATGTATCCTTACACACCATGTAAGTTCTGCTCTACTATTTACTCCTTAAAGCATGCTAAGGAATATGTGATACAGAGCATGCAAAGAGCTACAGAGCCCTTGCCCTCAAAATATCATTTTAAGAATATAAAACAAGCCTGTGCATCCCCATTCCCGATGTCCCTGACTTCTACGGAGGACGGTGAGCAACACTGAAAGGCTCCGTGTTTATTTAATGGGACAGGACTCTTTAAAAGGCACCGAGGCAGCTGCTTTTCGCTCTGAATACGGATGTTATTACTGAGGTTGTCTGCTTATTAGCAACTAAAACAAGATCTGGCTTCATGTTTTTTTCTATTAAAATGAAAACAAATGCACTATTGAGCAAATCGGGCTAACTTGTCATTGCTTCCCAGCTCTCAAACTCCTCTACCTGTTGGGATAAGGTATGTCACCTACTCCACCTGTTAATTTTTTCATGGCGTGTATGTTCCTGAGTCACGGAATAAACCAGCTAGTTTACCACTGCTGCTATTAACACATCGCTTGTCTGGTATCTTGTGAGGGGTCCAGTACTGACAAACACAGACCTAGACTGCAGGTGTGAGGTAAGATTTGCACTCAAAGTAAAACTCCAAAAAGAAATTAAATGCTAGAGAGCTCAGCTCGGAGATGCCTGGCCATAGGAATTCATGGCCCGGGAGGAGGCACCAAGAGCCCTGTGTGAGTGCAGGACAGGACTCGTGACCAGCATGGTCTGCACAGCTCCTAGATGACCCGTGCTTTCGCTTCATGCCCTCCAG